TATTGGTTGGAACGATATTTTCATGTGCTTAAGTGCGAGGTGATGAAGAAGGTGACAAAACAGGAGAGTCGCCGATAAAGGGATCTTTACTTCGTCCAGAAAATGTTCCGTTTCGATTAATTTTCTGCTCAAAAGCATTAGCATTCTGATGGTCTACAGTAGGATAGTAGTTTCCACTGCCTCCGGTCAACAGTTTCTTGTTAGATCCAGTCGAATTTACCGGCACAAAACTTCCAGATGCTGTTGTTACACTTGATCCAGTAGAATTGGCATTATTGTGATATTGTAAGTCACCATATGTACCATGTTTGATGTCTAAATCAGCAGGCGAAATTTTCCAAGATGTTTTCCGAAATGATGCGCCTCTTTCCTGGTAATCATGGCATGTAGAGCTATCCATATCATCGTGGTCTGTAATACCTTTTAAGTTCTCCATTTGTCCCTGTTTTGCTGCATCTTCCTTATGCATTTGATCTTGGGGAAGAGCCTTTGATACACCGAAATCTGGTGGCTTTGAAGGCTGGAGACCTAGCAAGCCACCATTAGTCCAGAATGTAAATGAAGCAGCATTAGAAGTTTCTGGTAATTGTTTCTGAGATTCAGCACTGTTCGTTGCTCTATCAGTAACTGGCATCCCTGGCCTACTGTCTCTGAAGTTGGCTGATGCAGTCCATGAAGTAGATACGACATTATTACCAGAATCAAGATGCTGTGGACTGACTGGACTTGATGAATCTCCAGCTTGTTGAGATGACTGTAAATCCTTTTCTGCTAGAGATATTGCTTTAATTTCATCCTTGGCTGCTACTCCATTAATCGAACTGGTAGTTGCATCAAGGGGTTTTGGAGTCGTTGAAACGAGATTATGTGCACCACTGCCATTGACCAGAGAACTGTTTGACAAAACATTAGATTCAGAATTTGAAGATAGGCATTCCATATTGTGTCTTCCGAGCTCATTTTCTGCATCAACTACTCTTTCTGTGCAGTCTATATCAGCTTCACACTCTGACTCAATGGGATTGGACAAAACATTAGGCTCGGAATTTGAAGATTGGCATTCAATATTATGTCTTATGAGCTCGTCATCTACTCCTTTGTCATCCAACTTATGGTAATCCTCTACTTCTTGCTTTTTTGTGCAGTCTATCTCAGTTTCAAACTCTGACTCAATTGTATTAAGCGCATCCATGAAATGATCAGTTTCACTTTCTATCTCATCAATATGTACATCACCAGATTCCACAGCATGATCATAAGATGGGAGATCCATTTTGTCAACAGTTACAAATTAACAGCATCATCACAGAGAATTTCTGAGTCCAGATCCTGAGAGAATGATTCTAAATG